CTCGATGATTAGTCAAGATCACACACGGATGAGACCAAATATGAAAGAAATAGTTGGCAGTAATATGACTTGTAAAATAATAATGGAAAAGGACTAAATCAAGTGGTTGGTACAAAACACAATCCACATGAATCTGAAACTTCTTCAAAGTTTGTGGGGCAAATCAACTGTTGTGATCCAATCATATCCATGTGGGATGTGGGATCTATCATTGCATCAACACCATTAGATAGGTCCATATATATGATCAAATATTTCTCTATTATATATATGTTCATTTGAAGTTTGTGATCTTTCAGAGTAACATGGGGGTGGTGGTCACGTGAGGAAAAGGGACCCGAAAACAGTCGAGCCGGCCGTGCGTTTCCTTTTGTCTCCTCACGCGCCGACATCTTATCATTTGCTTCTTTTTTTCAGTTCATAATAGTCATTCATTTCTTTTTAAGGAATTTTTTTTTTGTTTTTTTAATATGAAACACTTCTTATTTGCTAAACTCACCACGAAAATTAAAAATATATAAGAAAATATATATTCAACTTAGATCTTCTCTAACCCACAACTCTATTTTTTATTTTTAAATAGAGTGATTTAAAATGGAGTTGTGTTTTACTTCAACCTTAATCTATTTTAGAGTAAAAATAGAGTGAAGAACAAAAAAAACCTTTTACTCTATTTTGGAGTGAGATTTGGAGTGGAATTGGAGAAAATTTTACTCCAAAACTTATTTTGAAGTAGGATTTGGAATGGAATTGGAAGTGCTCTTATACGAGATGTAATCAAATTAGAAAGAGAAATTTTGCGTTCTTTTAGAAACGAGCTAGTAGTTTATGCGTTCTAGACATAATGGTTCATTTGAGAGTAAAATGATATTCCGAGGTGAGAGTAATTGAAATGGAAGAAAAAAAAACTGAAATATTAAAGTAATTAAATGGAAAAACTTTTTCACTTCTAAGTGAGAAGATTTATTAAAACAAATTAGAGAAGTGGAACAACAACACTTCTTCGAAAAAATGTTGATTGGACAAAAACATAGAAGAAATGAGGGTCAAATTTTTTTATTTTATTTTTTGAAATTTAAGTCATATGTTTTCCACTTGTATTGTTTACACTAACAATATTGCTTTTCATTCACACCCGAAATGTGTATTTAGTTTTAGTTTTACAAACCTTTGTTTGGAATTCAAGAACAAACGAACTATTTTCTACAAGCAGAAAAAATTATGAAATATCATGGGTTTGTGTCTTTTTTATATTACTACCAATCTTCTATCT